GTTCACTGGGTATGTTTAGATAGTTTGTACTTTTCATATAATTTTTACTAGTAACATGTAATTCATTGTTCTATCTGAATAATTTTTTTTCGTCATTGTTAAATATGTACCTTATAACCCTAATTTTTGTCAGTGTCTGACTTAATTATTTTGCACTGCTATGTTGCTGATCTGTTTGTTTCTTTTCAGTTCGTGGGCTGAACTTTGCTTTGGCTCCATTTCCTAAGTTCTTTGTACTAGAAACCACTTTTTCTCCTCAAACTACAGTTCCAGGTTTGTCCCTACAGTCACACATCGTTGATAGTTATTTATAGCTAGAAGTCGAGTGTTCCAGTTTAGGGCCTTTCCATTTGTACTAATCTTGGCTCTATATGTGTTTTGTCGGGTGGTAAGAACTTTGCCTGACATCTTCACTTTAATGGATCTTTGCACTCATCATCATATGGATGACTGGATCCTGCTCACTTCTTCCCATTCACAGTCCAGAGACCACACTCTCCTACAAGAAGCAGCAAGGATGGGATTCCTAATAAAAGTGAAGAAGTCTGTTCTTACCCCCACTCAATACCTTGTTCATTTGGGAGTTTTCTTCACTTCCGACCTCAGTCGAGCCCAGCCTTCTCCTCTTTGTCTTTGAAATATGGACCAAGCAGTCCACAAAGCCCTCACCTCACATTCTCTCACAGCTCCATATTGGCTGATGCAACCATTGTTTCAACTGCTCCAACATTTACTTATACAACCTCCCCTACCCATACCTCTGTCTCAGTTTCTACTCCATCAACTTCAGTTGGACGTCATTCCAGACATCACCATCCTCAATATTCATGCATGGCTTTTGTCAGGTCCATTGCCTCAACCCAGGGCCTGACTCCACTTGTTGCAACTTTCCTTTCCAGATCCATGAGACCTTTTTTCATGTCCTTTTACCAATTGCGATGGTATACCTTCTGCTTTTGGTCTCTTCGACGTGGTTTCCATCCTTCTTCCATGTCTTTTTGCCAATGGCAATGGTCTACCTTCTGACTTTGATCTCTTCAACATGGTTTCCATCCTTCCCCTCCTTCTGTTCCTCATCTTTCCCAATTCTTGATCTGGTTGTTTCACAAAAGCTTGTCCACTTTGACTGTGTCTAACTATCAGGCGGCCTTGTCGAACACCTTCCATTTCTCCAAGTTTTGTAAGGTTTTGTCTTTCCCTGCCATTTCCCTCATTTTCTGCTCCTTTCGGGTCATGCCTCCTTCACATTCCTTTCATTTGCCTGATTGGGATCACAGTGTGGTCCTTTATGTTCTTTCCTGTCCTTCCATTGAACCTTTGTAGACATGCTGCATATACCATCTCTCCCTTAAGATCTATTTCCTTCTCCTCCTCACTTGCAGATGTCATCAATCAGATATTTATGCCATTAATGTTACCAGAATCCTCTACCATTCCAATTATGTCATCCTATATCTAGACTAGCCCTGCCTTCCTAAAATCTATACTGTCCATGAAGGCTGTTTGGCTTTCATACCCATTTTCTTACATTCCATCTCCCACCTGTACTCCCATTCTGATTCAGATCGGCTTCTTTGTCCAGTTTGCTCTTTACAGTGTTATGTGACACATATTGCTTCCTTTCAAAGTGCACGTTCCTGACGTTTTCTCCCCTGGAATCCATCTGTTTCCTGTGAGTTATCCTCTGTCACACTAACTGGTTGGGTTTGTCAACTCATTAGGCTGGCATATTCTGACTTATCCATGGAAGGTCTCCACAATGTTTCTTCTTATCAAATTCATCATGTCTTTGGTTGCTCACCTTCGCTGTCCATTGGAGGACATCATTCAGGCCAGAATGTGGACTATCCCAATACTTTCATCACTCATTATCTGCATGTTCTGGCTGTATCTTTCTCAGGTGGATAACGTCTCCCTCTTTCCATTTCCCCTGGATGCTTATTCCCAAGTGGAAAGTTGTTGGTTGTAGCAGGACCAGCCTACACAGGATCCTTCTCATAATACCAAGTTTGAGATGACATTGCCTTGTTCCTATGGTTGTGTGCAGTAGAGGCCCT